TGGGGCTTGCTGGCTTGTTGGGGTACCAGGCGGGACAGAAACCCCAACAAGCCAGCCTTCATGTTACAGCTGTGTCTAAGTATTAGATAACACCTTAAGTTTTAATCACATTTTCAATTCTGATACAACTGACCTTCTACGTGCCCAATAACTGTACTTGGGGGCCAAGTCCAGTGAGAATATAAGGGGTAAAAGGACAACCAATATTTTGTTTCTTGTCCCTAGACCAACTAGGACCCAGGAACAACAGATCTCTAAAAGGATCCTACAGCTCCTGTCCTGTTGATCAGAGAGGCCACCGAGACACCAGAGCTTGGATTTTAATTAGTGAACATTCTACAAGGAGGAAAGTAAACACAGAGGGAATGTCTTCCATGCTACCAAGAGAACTCACTTGGTCAATAGGAATCTGACACACCCCAGCAGATGGCACACAAATGGTAGCAGAAAATTAAAGAAGGCATAAGGCTCTCCCCAGTTGTCTGAGAGAACTCCAAATGGATCCTCAACTGGCCTTGCAAGTAACACATAACAAAAAGGTTAATTTCTGGCAAAGTAGGTCTTATATACCCAATGGGGAAGCATAGTCAAAAATAAAATGATTGCTAATAATATAGAACAAAAAGAACAAGCTACAACTCAATCAGTTAGTGTGGTCTCCTAAAGATGAAGTGCCCCCTGTTGTTCATCTATTATATGAAAAGATCAGTAAAAAAAAATTATATAAGAAAAGGCCCTTGATAAGGTTTCAACTTCCCTTCATGGTAAAACTCTTTAAGAAACTAAGGAGCCAGGCACGGTAGCTTGCACCTTTAATCATAGCACCTGAGAGGCAGCGGCAGGCAGATGTCTGCGAATTCCGGGGTACCCTGGCTTACATAGCAAGTTACAGACCAGCTAGGGCTACATATTGGGACTCTGTATATATCCCAGTGAAATAAAAGCTAGGTATGACAAATCTATAACCAGTGTTATATCAAATTGGAAAAACTAAATTTGAAAACATTTCTTCAAAAAGTTGGAACAAGAGTACTCACTCTCCCCACTTTTAGTCAACGTAGTGCTCAAACTTTAGCTAGAGCAAGAAAAATGAAGTAAAAAGGACAGAAGGAAGAAAGAAGTCATATTATCCCTACTTGCAGATGATATGATTTTTTCCATATATATTATATTATAATTCCATGAACATATGCAAATGTGACCATATCACCCCATAAACCATTTTAAATCCCTCTGCTGGCTCACTTCTCAACTATCCTACCCCCTTGCATGTCCATTTGTGGCACCAGTCTTCTGTAGATAACCACAGATGTTGTGTGTTCATAGTTACCAAACCAGGTCATATCCAATAGATAATATTTCATAGTGTTTCTCCCTCTCTCTGCCTATTACCATCACCATCTTTCCTCCCCCTCCTCCACAATGTTTCCTGGCCCTTGAGAGAGGTGATACAGATGTCCTGTTTAAGGCTGAGTTCTCAACAGTCAACTACTCTCACCATTTGACCAGTCATGAATTTCTGCATTATCCAGTGTTCACTGCAAAAGAAGTGTCTCTGACCAAGGCTGAGAGGAGCACTCACTTAGGGTATAAACATAAATACTTAGAAAGTAGTCTGGCTGCATGGCCATTTATTGAAACATCAGTAGTAGATTCTACTCCATGGTCTCTGTCCTCCCATTAATAGATTTTCCTTCTTTGGATAGGATATTATTCTGTATTCCAGGATAGCCCAGAACTTCATATTTATCCCAGGCTTGCTCCTAACTCCTGGAAATCTTACAGCTGAGATTATAGGTGTAAGCTACCATGTTAAAGTTTTTAACAGCTCTTCGCTAATTCTGTAATTCTGTAGAATTCTGTAATTCTAGATTTTTAATTCTGAAGAATCTAGTTGAAATTCCTCTTTGTAGCATTCAGTGTTCATTCTGTTTTACAAAAACCTATCACTGCAACTTAATTTCTCTTTAAATACAGCATATGATTTACTCTGAGTTTATACCCTTCAAATTTTCTTGGCAGGGAGTTCTTACTTCCCCAGAGGCCGATCTGATCTATACTTTAGATTCCATTTAAATGCCATAAAGCTTTCTTCATCTTACACTTCTCATACTCATCTGGAACTAGATGCTGTTTGCTTTTAAACTATAATAGTGTCTCACTTGAGTTTTCACATCATCCTGTCTAATGATTTGTATCTCTCATCACTTCACTTAATTAAGACAAGAGGTCAGATGCTCTGACTTAGCTTGCTTTGCACACTCCTCAGCAAGCTGAGCTTCCATAAACCACAACTCATGATGATCGCTATTGGAAGCTTCAATCATTCATCAAAAGCCAGGAACCAATTTTAGCACTTTTACACGTACTAATTAATTTAATTTTTAAAATGACTCTGCAAGATAGGGACTATGACAAAAAACAATTTACAGGACAAAAATTAAGCAACAAACAAAGAACCAAACTGCAGGACTGGAAAGTTACATACTGCCCAAGATCACAAAGTTATTTAAGTATCAAAGTTGAGACATAAATTTAGTCTGGTGTCAAAACATGCACAATTAGTCTCTAAATTTTCTTTGAAGTTTAATAACTGATAACAGACTAAATCTTAATCAATAGGGTTCCATTCCAATACAGGTAATTAACAACTCAGTACTATATAACATTGAAATAATGAGGATAGAGAAAACACAAAGAACAAGTTGATTCCAAAGACAGAGTCAATAAAATTTATAGCAGCCATAAAATACCGTGATAATGGTCACTGAACCCTAAATTTTAACTTCAAAAGGCAGTTCTTTTTCCACATATAGGTGGTAGGAATGTACATAAATTAATATTATCTAGCTGAACAAATTAGTATTCTACTATCCAGAAACTCTACTTGTATATCTATTGCAACAAAATGTAAACTTATATACATCAGAATAAAAAGGTATTGGTGACACCAAAATCTAAATCTTCCCTGTCAAGAAAAGATCGTGGTATGCTTGTAAAACCAAATAGTATACATCAATGGGTGTTATCTTTCAGACAGTAGAATATGTGTTGTATAACTACATGCTGATGTTTTTAAAAGGCTGGGTTTGATAGCACATGCCTTTAAATCCCATCACTTGGGAGGCAGAGGCAGACAGATCATGATTTCAAGGCCAGCCTGGTTTACAGAGCAAGTTCCTGGACAGTTGGGGGCTACACAGAGAAACCCTGCCTTGGAAAAAAATAGGACCAGGGCAAAACTGATATATCAGTTGAAATCATGCCCATGAGCTGAATGTTAATTAGAAGAAGAAATGTCTTTTTCATTCTAAATATTTGCATATGCCCACTTTATAAAGCTATATAAACTAATGATCTATAAACATATGTCATAATATCAATTTTCTTGAGCAGGAATCTTATCTCTCTATCAACCTAAAACTAAGCACTCCTATCTTTAGTAAGCAGGGCTATTTTATCACTATGGGCCTCTGCTTGTTATTTTATTATGGAAATAATAGTAATAATAATATCCTTCATGGTATTTTTAAGGGGTGAAGACCAAATCCGTGAGAACTATTAAGCACCAGGCCTGCCACACAGCTAAGCACTCAGTATGTGTCAACTGCTATTATTATTTTTCTGTGCCAGTTCTTTCTTCTAGTTACCAGTCAGCTTTTAGCTTTAACCCATCCCCATCTGTGCACGCAGGGAATATTCACATTCTAACACTCAAAAAAATAGGGCCGCTCCTCTGTCTCCTCTTTGCCTGAGCAAGATTTAAAACAGTTCAACTGTGTATTCAAGCGACCTGAGTTTGGACTGGGTACATACAGCGGCCCAAGTCCACGTGAACTGGAGCAAGAGTGAGTACAGCAGAACTGAAGGACCTTTGCTCTTTTATGGTGCCAATATCCCTTAGACCACGCCAGGAAGCCCAGTGTACATAACAGCAACTGGAAATGAGAGGATCCAGAAAAGGGTAATGCTGGAGGCAGTCATCAGCTACAGAGAGGAGTCCTGAGGGAACTGGGAATCGGAGAAAGAGAAGTTTAAACTCCGGAGTTCTTGCTTTACCCATTGCATCAGACAAAGTCTGAGTCCACCACATGGGCATAACCTGATTAGTTTTAAAAAATGGAGAAAAGAGCTCATTTAAAAATTGGGGGAAACAATACCTAATCCAAGTCTCCTAACTTCTAATCCTCATACTCTTCTCATTAAAATATGGACTTCAATGAGCATGGGCCTAATCTCTAATATTCAGTGAAAAATATCAATCACGGGCTAGTTATGAAGTCTTCACTGTTCCTTAGCCCTAAAGCAGAGAACTAAACTTTCAGAAGGGAGAAAGACTTAGAATATATAGGGGTTGGCTGGGATTGGGAAGGAAGAGTCAGAAAATATGAGGAACAGAAGTAGCTCTAGAGGATGGGCAGGCTTAAACAGCATCAACGGAGTTGGTAATTCTATCTTGTGTAATTCTTTCCTCAGTAGAGCTGAGCTAGGTGCACTCAGTTTTACCTGCTTTCTTTCGGATTCCCGGGCTAGGACCGGAGGGATGCTCAGACCCATACACTTAACTTGGGGACAGAATGGGGGTCTGGGCAGCCTGTTTAGAGACACGGGGTATCCAAAGAAGAGAGGGGGAAAGGAAAAAACATTGGAGAAAGAAACTTTCCAGGGTGTGGCACCATGAAGGTGGCTACCAACCGAAGAAGTTAAGGTAAAGATGGTGAGGGGTACCAGTTTGGAGTTTGTAAGGTGTCAAAGTCACCTGCAGGAAAGTGGCACGCACTCACTGAGTATGTAACAGATAGGAATGCAAACCACCGGTTTTAGCTCCACTGCTGCTCCCAAATTGGTCCTGGGGAAGAGAGGGTCTCGAAAGCAAACACAGATGTGGGCGCTGGAAGTCAAAGAGCAACCTGAGAAGTAAAGAACAGTGTGCCCGAAGTCCAAGCTGAACACCAGTAGAGAGTTCCTGACTCCCAGTCCAAGTTAATTGTTTTCCTTACCTGGAGTACCATGAAGTGGTTCATGACTACAGATGCTGCCAGCAAAAGCCCACTGCTGCTTCTCTAGCTGCTGCCGCCTCTGTTCCAAGTTTCTTAGCCGGGCTTCTGGTCAAAGTCTCATCTCCTGATAGTAACAAAAGCTCCCATCAAGACACTTCGTTCATAGTTATACCGGCATCTGACTTTCTGTCAAGTGCCTTTTTATTTTGCTAGCTAACTGTTCTGGTTCGGGTTCAAGGTTTGGCACAGCTCTTAAGACTCCAGACCCCAAGTCTAGAGATGCAGCTCATTTGTTATAGAAGCTGCTGGGCATGCAGCACACATAAGGCCCTGGATCCCACCCCAGGTTTGCACAAAAACATGGTGGCGAATGCCTGTCCCCCACCCCCAACACTTGGGAGGTGAAATCAGGGAAAACAACAGTCCAGGAAACCCTTGACCACATAGCAAGTTGTGACTGTTTCAAACAACAACGGAACCAGGGATTTGAATAGTGCAGCCCTTTTTACACTCCACTGTTGTTATAAGGGCACAGTACCATCATGATAGACCATCTTATGCTGGCAGCTGGGTTTCTAGGGGGCTCTTCTGTGAGGAGACATTGGGCTAGTCCATATTAAATAATTTTTGAGTGACAGATAGGTGTGTCCCTTCTATTCTCTACCTTCATATGTTTCCTGTCATCTCCCTAGTCAAAACCTCAACAGGAGGCTCACAGGCTGCATTGTTCAAACCTCAAAAGAGTTCTCTAATTATCATCTTTAGTGAACAGTAAATTCGACTTCCTAATCATCTTCTCTACTTTGTCTTTTGTATCCATTAAACTCTAGCTGCTTAATACCCTTTCCTCTTGGTACTTATTTTGTTTTCAACATTTGACACTGTTGAGTGATACTCAATGTTCTCTCTTCTGGTAACTTTTGTTAGAAAGCAGGCTCACTGTGCGCATCCTCAAGTAAGCCTTCCCTTCAGCTGCCTGGCTCTTCTGAAGTTCAGCTCATTCTCTTTGATAAGAGATTCCTAAATTTATATCTCAAGTCCTGTGAACTCAAACCAAGAGTTCCATTCACATATCCCTGGTAGGACATTAAAGCTAGGGTAGCTCCCACGGAACTCTGGCTTCCCTTCAGATCTGCATTTAACATCTTCCTTCACCTACCTCTGCCATCTGCTGTTCCTCAAGTGGAACTTTCTCCTCCCACCGCATTTCTAGTTTCTCAGTGAAAACATCGTTCTGGAGTTGTTTGAGCTAGCGAAAAGGGGACGTGAATGCTGTCGTCTCTGTTTTCAAGTTGTCCTTGTGTGTCTCTGTGTGTTCATGTGTGAATGGGCACACGTGGGGGGGGGTCAAAAGATAACCTCAGGTGCCGCCCATTTTATTTTTTAAGGCGGGGTCTGGAATGCACCTGTTTGTCTCTGGCTCCTCAGCACTGGGATTACAATTGAACAGTCATGTCTTGCTTCCTTGTATGCGAGTTCTCAAGCTTATTTTATAAGCACTTTATCAACTGAACTATCCCCCCAGGTCCCCTTTTTGATGTGTTTGTTTGCTTGCTTGCTTTGGTTTTTGCTTTTGAGACAGGGTCTTCTATTCTCCAGACCATCTTGAATGTTTTGAACTCACGTGGAAGAAAGGGAAAGAAATGAAAATGGCCTAAGTAGTTCAAATTAGCTCTTTTGGGGGCAGTAATTCATACATGAGAGTGGGGTTCCTTTGCTGATTTACTTCTTAAAGACTTTGTCTCTGAATAACTTTGTTCTTAAGGTTGTTGTATGTTTTACTCAGTGCAAAACTATGTAGTCTGGATCTGAAATGCTCAATTTTCCTACCTCAGACTCCCAAGTACTGATATTATAAGCATGCACCATCACAGCTAATTTTTAATATTTTTTTAATTTGGGATTAAGGTTCATCATACTTTTAGAATGAACACACATATGTCAACTATAGCACAGCTGTTTAGAGCCAAATCCTTGGAGGTATTATCTTTCCCTTGTTACATATGTGACACGGCTAATTTGACAAACACTTCCTTTGCAATGGGCTCCAAATCTATTTTTCAACTTGTATCCTGGCCCAGGCCTTGGGATTTTTAGCTGGATTATTGTCACAGCGTGTTAGCTGGTCTCTATCTTTTGGCCTTGGTTCTCACAGAATCTATTCTCTGCACAGAATCTTTTAGACTCTGTAGTCTAAAATGATGTCAGTATTTTGAATAAAACATTATAATGGTCCCCATATCTAAATACAAGCTGGATGCTTAATCATGGCCTGTGAGGGTATAAATAGGAGTTCAGCCCAGTGCCTCTCAACTGTGTCTTCCATTACTGTTTTTTTTTTCTCTTTCTTTGCTCATATTGGATTCCTTGTCATTTCTCCTAAGGCCTTTCCTTTTGCTATTTCTTCCTGACAAGGATGTTTTCTTCCCTCTGATATGAACATACTTGTTGACTTACCTCTGTCAGATCTCTAACCAATGCCCCTGTATAAGAGCATCTTTATCTAAGTACCTTATATAATATAAAGCCATTCCTGATTCTCTACCATTCTCTACTTTTGCCTCTTTTGCAAAGTTATCAATGCCATTTGATAAGATAGAGGTATATCTGTCATCTCTTACTGATTTTTCTTTCTGTTAAGTCATGCTTGGTTTGCAGTCATTAATAGCTTGCAGTAATTAGTAAGTACTTATTGAATTAATGAATGAATTTTCAGAGCTGCCACAGATTTTGACACCATTAGTATTAGTGGTTCATTATAGTGGTTCTCTTTAAAGCAAATTGGAGCAGACTGTTCTACCAATGAATATAGGACAGTCAAAGTTCAGAAAGGGCCCCTCATGGGAGTAGGAAATCCAGTGAAGGGATGAGAAAAGTTAGAAGAAAATGTTAGGTTCATAAAATATTTTCCATAAGAGATGAAATCTTTTTCTTTCTTTTTGGAAAGTCAGTTACATAACTCTTGTGGTTTGTCTATTTAATTCACTACCTAAGTGATCAGGAAAGTACTTGGCACATAGCAAATACTTGGTACTAGCTGAACAAACGATGAGAGTAAAGTTTCCTAAATTTAAAGTTAGTGTAGATTAGGGGGCAACATAAAGGCTCGAAAACACAAACAGAGAAGAGGGTGATAGTGGTGTCCCATTAGAAGATGTGAACTGGTGCGCATGTACATAAACTTCAGGTCCCTGAAAGAAAAGACCACTAAATACAATTTATTATAGTAAATTTCTCCTGTCCTGCATTACCCTCAAGTTTACAATTTAGTTCTTACACATTTATCTTCTACTTACTTATGGGTGATGTTCTTCCCATAGTAATTGGGAGAGCGAGTAGGTTTACTCCATTCCCTCACCTTACTGACCATAGAGAAAGCCCCAGAATGCTACTGCCAGAGGCTTCTGATGATGTAACCAGTGATGACTGCTACAAAAGTCATAAAGTCACAGTGACATCACTTCTCCTTCAAAGCTAGCTGTGGGAAGCTTGGGGCACAGCTTCACCCTAGACCTCCACCAACTTGCTGCTCAGAGAAAGCTTAAGAAGTAGAGCGGACTTTTGGATCTTCTGTTGCTCTTAGCCGATCAGGCTTCTGGAAGCAACTGTCCACAAACCCCCTGTGAGGGCCAACCTTATGGGAACTCTGCATTCACCTTATAGAGGCAGCATACTTTAATTATGCAGAGCACAGAGGATGTGAGCCAAGACATCTGGCAAGACTGCCTCAAATTGTTCCTACAGGCGGAGATATGCAGTGATGCAGCAGTTGTTACCAATTGTCCACCTTGGCTATTAGCTTCTTGCCCTGAAGGCAACTTTATCCAGATGACCCGGGAAGAAATTCAGACCTTACTGGCAAAAGACCGGCGAGAAAAGCTGTTTCTCCAGGGAGTCACCCTTGCTGGGATCAAATGCCTGCTAATCCGAGACAACCTGTTCACCGAGGGCAACAACAGCATGGACCTGCGTACGAAAGGTCAAAGCAGAAGTAGCCAGGCTGTGACAGTAGTTCAGATGGGATCTGTGTACCTTGTGGTGATGGGGAAAAAGGGGACCGAAGGAGGACCTCTCAATCTCAAAGCTTTTGAGATAGCAGGCTACATGAGAGAGGCCATTCTTAAACAAATTTCCCGCTGCTAAGTAAATAAAATTACTTGGTGTTTCACCTGCAATTTGAATTTAGTTCTGTTTGTTTCACCTACTAAATTAGCTTATTCTTGAGGAATGAAGAAGATGCCATAACTAATTTTAAGGCATGTAAATGTCTTTGGGGATGGAGAGAGGGCTGTAGCTTGTAAACTTCCTTTAGACCCGTGATTCTCAGCCTTCCTAGTGCCATAACACTTTGATATAGTTCTTCATAGTGTGGTAACCTCCAGCCATAAAATTATTTTTATTGCTACTTCATAACTGTAATTTTGCTTCTACTATGAATCATAATGTAAATATCATTTGACCCCTCCAAAAGGGTCGTGACCCATAGGTTGAGAACCACTGATTTAGGCCATCAGGTTTCTAGGCCTTTTCTTTATGACTTTATTTGCATTTTTTACATTGAAAATACGATCCTTCCTTTCTCAGCTCCTGGTGGAGAGTAGTGCACTGGGAAGCAGAACATCTTGAACCTAGCTCCAATTTTTCTTACTGAGCTTTTTCTTTTGTAATTTCAGTCTCCTTATTTTTACAATGGCAAAAACACTAAGCTTCTTCGGGGATCCTTCAAGATCTGTAGGTAGAATTTTACAACAACAGCAACAGCACAAAGACCACACACACACACACACACACACACACACACTTTCAAGAACAGCCTAAGCATCACCTCATCAAAGGAAAGGTGCTCTCTCTGGTCACCTTAACTATTTGAACTGGTCTTGGTTGAAATAGAGCACAGTTGCCTGGGTCACTTCTCTGCCCTTAATCATACCCTAGCCAATGTTTATTGGATGACTTTTTGATGGTCTTTTCTACTTTTGGCATGCACATTAATTTTATTTCCTAGCTTAGCTATAATTTCCTTGATGACAATATCTTTAATTCTCCATTGCCTTCTTGGGATCCCAGCATGGGAATCTATCAGAGGATTTGTTCTCAGGTATAAAAATCACTAACAAAGCAGCCTTTCCTCTCATGAGAAGAAAATTGAGGCTCCGAAGATAAATGGCTTTGCCAATTAGTTGTTAAGTGCAAAAAAAAAATTAGAAGACAGTCTTGGTATACAGATTCCCTATCAAACAAGAAACTTAATTGGACCTTCAGCTGACTGAGCCCCAAGGACAATAGGCTGGGAGTGAGAAGAAAGCCCAGGTGTGTGTATGTGTGTGTGTGTGTGTGTGTGTGTGTGTGTGTGTGTGTGTATGTGTGTGTGTCGGGATGCATTTAGTAGAAATCTTATCCTTGTCAACTGGAGAAACACTAACTGCTAGATCAGGCCAGGCCCCAGTCTGTTGTTACAAGTTTCCTCAGAAATCTCAATGTGACTGGTATAAATATACTTGAACTGAAATGTGGAGAAATCCACAGGGCTTGTGTAGTTCCTGAAGACATCAGGGAAAGGCATTGATAGAAGGTCTAGGACTAGAACAGGGAAGCTGGGTTATACTTGGAGGAGTCATCTTTTCCCCATCCACCTTATGAGCTCCTGATGTTTTATGTGGTCATAGTGACACTCTGGTTGTGTAGGAAACTAATCTCAGGTTGATGAGCCAGCTCAGAGGGTAGATGTGCTTGCTCATAGTCCTAGCTACTTGAGTTCAGTCTCCATATCCCATAAGGTGACAGGAAAGAACTGACTCCTGGGAGTTATTCTTTGACCTTCACACATGTGCCATGGCTCCTATATATCCATACACACATACACACACACACACACACACACACACACACACACACACACACACAAATAAGTAAATAAATAAATATCTCAAAAAGAAGCTACTCTTAATCTCCTTTTGATATGATCCATATTTCCTCTCTTATACCCAGAAGGTCAGCCATATCGAACTCAGTGTTTTCATTATATACTCAATAATTTATACTATGGTGTTCTCAGGAACGATAAATTATGTCTCCTGATGTAGGAGGGTCTTCTATCTATCTGTTGCTTTCATTGGTTAATTAATAAAGAAAACTGCTTGGCCTGATAGGTCAGAACATAGGTAGGCAGGGAAGACAGAACAGAATTGTGGGAAAAAGAAAGCAGAGGCAGGAAGACGCGATGAAACTCCGGCCCAAGATGGACGTAGGTTAGAATCTTCCCTGTAACTCATGTTACAGTCTCCTCTACTGGCTAACAACTTTTAACCTGTATCCTACCAATTTTTTCTAGTCCTGGCCACCAATCCATATGCCCTCTTCTCCATATTTGGAGAAGTTTTGTTAGGCCCTGGATTCACCTGCCTTGGTTCTAGAAACCTTTCTCATAATATTTAATACTTTCAGTTTTTAGTTTAAAAGTCCTTTCTGTTATAGCCTAAAAGTTTCCCAATTCTTTTACAGTAAGTCTCACTTTAACATGTTTTTATCATAGACAAAACAAGTGATACACAACTAACTAGATAATTAAAATGAATGGCAGGCATAACAAATAATTGATTTAAGGATATTTCAGTAAAAATTCTTCCTTGGTTTCAAGAGTTCTTACTCTATGTAAAAATCATCCTAATAAGACTTTTTGAATACCATATTGCCTAAACAACACATTCTACTATTATTTCTACCCTGCCTAATGTATTTAATAGTAGTTTTATTGCCTTACATTTCCTGTATTACTTACTTGTTTACTGTCAGTATCCTATAAAATAATGTAAGTGGTATGAGAATATGAATGAATATTTGACTGTTACAGTAGCTGCTTTAATTCCAGTGACTAGCAAGATGCCTAGCACATAACAGGGAATAAAAAGTATTGATTGAAAACATGAGTGAATGAATGAACATACAATTACAAGGGCCTATTATGATGCAGGGCTTGTTTTAGGTTAGGTTGAGATGGAAGGGTAGGTAAACATAGAGTTTCTCTTCTGGCATGAGAAAGGGAGGGCATCATGAATCTACCCACACAAAAAGACACAATATGGCAGGTGCGGTAGAAAGAATCAAATGATGTTTTGTTGAAGTACAAAGATGAAAGAGGTTAATACAACGTATCATCTCTCCAAATGTTCTGTTACTCATTGCCTTCCTCTTGTTGTGGATGTCATCTTTGCTTTTGTTGTGAGATCAGTAGATACTGACCCCACTGACTGGATATGAGGTAAAATATTTCTTATGATATCTGCTATCGCTAGGAGGTATAGTCTTTGCCTGTTGATCCTAATCTGATCCCATTTTGTGGTTTCAGATCTGTCTTCTTATTACTCGTTTATTTATATAACTTAAACAGGTCAATGTATAACTTGGACCCTCTTTTACCAAACTCAATTTTTATACCGGGGAAATATCCAGAGAACCTTTGCATACAAGGTCACCTACTATGTCATCCAGGAGCAGGACCAACACTTGCTTCAACTGTAGTATTCTCCAGATAAGAAATAGACAGAGGCTAGCACGACTATTCAGGAAGAGGTCAAATGAAGCAAAAGATAGGCCTCACTTTGCATGGTGGTGGCCTATGCATTTAATCCCAGCACTCAGCTCGGCAGAGGCAGGTGAGTTCAAAGCCGGTTTGGTCTACAACAGCTCGTTCCAGAACAGGCTCCAAAGTTACAGAGAAACCCTGTCTCGAAAAACCAAAGGAAAAAGAAAGATAGGCCTCACTGATTTAAAATGGCCAGTGTACTTTTATGAATTTACAATTGAGGTTCAAAAAAACTTTTCTTGACTCATTAGGTGAGCAAGAATGCAAGTTCAATGATCAATAAATGCAAGAATAGCCCTCTCTTTGTAGTTTCAGATGTGCTCTTATCTTGAAATCTACTGTTCCAAAAGGATGTGCATTATGTGGACACTTGGCAGAAAGCAGACAAAATGATATTATTTCAAAGGGAAATTGCCACACTGGACTGTCATCTGGACATCTATAACCCTGATAATTTCACTATTCTCACCTTAAAGGACACCAGATGGAAAAACGGAAGAGTAGGCTGGAATACTTTTGTGGCCCAGAGTAAAGGACTGTGTTGTCCTTTGAAAGGGTTTCTATAACTTATAAAGCCACATCTTCTTACCCATTTCTTACCAAGTCTATTTATTCTATGAAGAAATAAATAGCAGTGCCCTCATTCCTGCTACAACCGTAAGCTTGTTTCTAGACCCGGCAGGAACCACAGCCCAGGTTCTCAAGGTCTTTTATTGCTATATATGTAAAGACATAATATGGGATCAGCAGCTTGGAAGCTAGAAAGTTCGATCCTCTTATATTTTAGGAAAA